GGAATCGAATTGTTTTTGAACCATTCAAATCGGTTGATCCGTACGCCCGAAAACGTAGACGGATAATTGTATCTACGCATATATCCATTTTTCTGAGGTATGCCAAAATGTTCAGAAACCTTCAAAACGTGAAGATATGCAAAAATTTTCAATTTCGATTTTGGGACGATTGCAGTAATTTACCCTACGGGATAATAATAATTAAACTAAAACAATAAAATATTAACATATTATTCTGCATATTGTCGACCAAATAATTTAACTCAATTATTATTTGTGTAAGAAGTCTGAGATAAAACCATAGATTTAATTTGTATATGATACATGCTGACCTGCAGATTTTTAAAATTCTATTTTTCAGCTAGATTTATGTCTTTCATTTTAAAATACAATTCAAGAATATTTTGTTTATTAAACAACCCTAGAAGAGCGTCCGCGCTCTTGTAAAATGTATAGAACGATGTACTCTACATTTCCCATATGCAAATTCATATGTGTGTTGTACTTTGTTGTTTGCACAGATATATATATATATATATATATATATATATATATATATAATACAGTAAAACTCCAAAGAAAGAAAAAATCATTCTCTGAGATATTATATTTGCTGGCGCTATGATATATTACTACAAATTCACACGTTTTTTCAACTTCTTCGCAGAACGAAAACTCAAGTAGGAGAGCTGATGTTTATTTTCAAAAAAATGATATATAAATATTATATTGCATCACTTAACGTATAAAATATGAAATTTATTATTTAACTCTAATACATCTCCCGTCCTCACAATACGAATCCCCAGGACATCTAACATCCTTACAAGATTCATCAGGAACGCACACACCACTTCGACACTTAAAATACAAAGGACAATAAACTTTTTCGCAGGATTTGCATTCTTCATCAGGTCCACAAATCAGGCAACTTCCATCTTCACATTTGTATCCATCAGGACAATTTGTATCCTCACAAGGATCCTGAATATCAATCGTACCTCCAGTACTACTATTATTTTGGGTACATGGATTATTTCCTCGATTAGAACAACAAGAATTTACCCTCAGACAAGGGTTACATGATGTTAAACAACAAGGACGTGCATTGATAAATGACAGAGTAATTGTTAATAAAATTATTATTTGTTTATACATGTTTATTTATGATACTGATGTTTGCAACAAAGTCATCTTGTATTTATATGGCGAGCTGTATAACCTTTGGCAAATTGGTGCGTTTTATCTTTGATAAATTTAACGCAATTAGTAGAAATTAGCGTGATATGGCACCAGTTGGTTGCAAAATTTTAGATAATGTGGAAGTCTCTAAATATATTATATATACATATATAAACATGTTTGAAATAAAAATCAAGAATTATTTGAAGAAATGTTAAAATGTTCTGAAAGCATATAATGCAATTATGGAAATACTAAAGTCCGCATTTCAACTACGAATTCTTCAAAATTTTAATACCAAAGTGTATATGATAATTTTTATTATAATTTAGTAAATTTTATGTAGTTTTCAGTAGTGTAAAAAAATTGTAATGTACAATATGAATTATTATAGTTATGCAAAGTGAACAATGTTCAGAATTCAAAAATAACATTTCTTTTTTTTTTTATTTTCTTATAAATTACAATCTGTCTAAATAAAAAGACATTGAGTAATTAGTTTGACAAATAAGATTAAATTAAAAAAGAAAAACCTAGTGGTTTACCTTTTATTGGTGTACTAAATTATATTATAATTATGGTATAATAAAGAAAAAAAAAAGAAACTCAAATAAACAGTTATAAACAAAGTAAAAAACAAAACAAAACACTATTTTAAATAATATTGTAGAAAAAAATAACAAATTATGGTAGTACTAAAGTCCACATTTCAACTACAAATTGTTCAAAATCTTAATACTCATGTGTATATAACAACTTTTGCTACATTTTAGTAAATTTTATCTAGTTTTCAATAATATAAATTAATAGTAGTGTCTAGAATAAAAATTAAAAGTTATTTGAAGAAAAGTAAAAAATGGTCTGAAACCATATATTACAAATTATGGAAATACTAAAGTCTGCATTTCAACTGTGAAATAATCAAAATTTTAATATCCAAGTGTATATAATAGTTTCTCTTAGATTTTAGTAAATTTTATTTAGTTTTTAATAAAATAAGAAACTGGTAATGTCTAGAATGAAAATTCAAAGTTATTTGAAAAAAAAAATGTAAAAAATAGTCTGAAACCATATATTTCAAATTATGGAAATACTAAAGTCCACATTTCAATTACGAATTATTCAAAATTTTAATATCCAAGTGTATATAAATGTTTTTTATTATATTTAAGTAAAATTTACCTAGTTTGCCATAATGTATAAAAGTAGTAATGTCTTGAAAAAAAAAATAAAAGTTATTTGAAGAAAAGTAAGAAATGGTCTAAAACCATACAAGAACAAATTAAAAGTTTATCTAGATTTTAGTGATGCTCTAAAATTATAACGCCTATAATAAAAATTCAAAATTATTTGGTCTAAATCCTTATAAGGCAAATGATCAAGTACTGAGTTTGCATTTCAACTATAAATTATTCAAAGTTTCAATATCCATGAGCATATAACAGCATTTACTAGATTTTAGTAAATTTTATGTAGTTTTCACTGATGTATATAAATCAAAGACGCCAGAGCAAAATTTTCCAAGATATTCTCAACTAGCTGTAAGTGGAATTCTGTCTTAAGGCAATTAAGGCATCTTGCCTTAAGGCAAATTGCTGGTACTTCCCGTACCAAAAATTATTATTTTTTTAAAAACGATTAACATTTTTGAAAAAATTTTACTTCAAAAGATTCATGAGAAACTATAAATTAGACAAAAAATAACTTTTTTTTGAAAAAAAAATTAAAAAAAAAAAATTTTTTTTTAATTTTTTTTTTTGAAAAAAAAAAAGTTTTCTTTATTTTGACATATTTTGCAAGATCTAAACTTTTTTTCAAAGTAATCGTACTGCTTTAACTGCATAAAGAAGAAATATCAAAGCGCGTAAGCGCCGCGTCGCCGTCTAACGCGTAAACATTGGTACGGAACCTATAGGAATGTAAACAAAATTTATACTTATTGTTAAAATCTCTATAAAATATCGGATAATTTGATGTGCATATGTCTAATGATCATTTTTGACCGCCAAATGGCATTTTTTTTACTTTTTTTATTAGATCTCCGAAACCGATAGACCTGACTTCATGAAAATTTGATCGGTTCTTCACCATGTCAATACAAGTAAAATGTTTTTTGAATTATCAAAATCGGACGCTCCGTTCTCTTAAAAACTGAGTTACCGTTTTCGGCACTTTTTGCCCCGTATCTTCAGAACGGCTAGACCTGCCTTCGCCAAAAACTAATCAGCACGTCTCCTTATCAATACGAATCGAATGTTTTTTGAATTATTCAAATTGGTTAATCGGTGTTCCCGAAATCGTCGACGAAAATTTGTATCCGCACATACATACACACACGCAAACACACACACACACACACACATACACACACACACATACATCCATTTTTTCTAAGGTATGCCAAAATATTCAGAAACCTTTGAAACGTCGAGAAATGCAAAAATTTTCATTTTCGATTTTTTGGCGATTACTATAACTTGCCCTATGGGAAGTTAAAAATATGAAAAACTAGCTGTAAGTGGAATTCTGTCTTAAGGCAATTAAGGCATCGTGCCTTAAGGCAAATTGCTGGAACTTCCCGTACCAAAAATTATTATTTTTTTAAAAACAATTAACATTTTGGAAAAAAAATTACTTTGAAAGAATAAGATTTTTGAGAAACTATAAATTGGACAAAAAATAACTTTTTTTTGAAAAAAAAATTTTTTTTTAAAAAAACATTTTTTTTAAAATTTTTTTTTTTTTGAAAAAATTTTTTTTTTCTTTATTTTGACATATTGTAGAAGATCTGAACTTTTTTTCAAAGCAATCGTACTGCTTTAACTGCATAGGGACAAAATATAAAGCGCGTAAGCGCCGCGTCGCTGTCTAACGCATAAGCATTGGTACGGAACCCATAGAAATGTTAACAAAATGTATACTTATTGTTAAAATCTCTATAAAATATCTGATAATTTGATGTGCATATGTCTAATGATCATTTTTGACCGCCAAATAGCTCATTTTTTTACTTTTTCCTCCATATCTCCGAAACCGCTAGACCTACCTTCATGAAAATTTTATCGATTCTTCATCTTGTCAATACAAGTGAAATGTTTTTTGAATTATTCAAATCGGACGCTCCGTTCTCTTAAAAACTGAGTTACCGTTTTCGGCACTTTTTGCCCCGTATCTTCGGAACGGCTAGACCTGCCTTCGCCAAAAACTAATCAACACGTCTCCTTATCAATACGAATCGAATGTTTTTTGAATTATTCAAATCGGTTGATCCGTGTTCCCGAAATCGTCGACGAAAATTTGTATCCGCACATACATACACACACGTACATACATACATACATACACACACACACACACACACACACACACACACACACACACACACATACATCCATTTTTTCTAAGGTATGCCAAAATGTTAAGAAACCTCTGAAACGTAAAGATATATAAAAATTTTCATTTTCGATTTTTTTGCGATTACTATAACTTACCCTACGGGAAGTTAAAAAGACTAAATCTCACATATTGCAGAATAAAATACCAGAAAAATGTATCAACAAGTTTTATTCATAATTATATATTAGAAAAATTTTATAAATATTTTGACTTAAACAAATATTGATGAAGCCTAGTGGAAATGCACTATTTTATTATAATTGTCACAAATTTTAACAAATTTTTACCAAGGGAAATTTGTTATATGCTCTTATAACATAATACAATATATTTTTTTAAATATATGTAAATACAGACAAATTATTTATATAGATAAATACAAGTACATAATTATAAATTATTGATCGTATGTTTTATTACTCTTAAAGAGCACTGCAATGGCCATCAACACACCGATGTCCCTTGGGACAAATAACATGTCTGCAAGAATCTTCAGGAACGCATTTACCAAAAGAACAAAAATAGTCCTTCGGACATTTTATATTTGTACAAGAATTGCATTGGTGAGGAGGCTCACAAAAAGTGCATTGTCCCAGATAACAAGTTTGATCACTTGGACAAATTACACCTTCACAAAGATCGACATCGACACATTTTCCCAATCTGCATTCTTGGCCATCGGGACAATCTATGGTGGTACAAGGATCTATTGGTTTGCAGGCACCCCTCTGACATTGGTAACCTGGAGGACATCGAATCTGGAAAATAACCCAGAAATTTTACAAGGCACAAAAAACTAAATTTCTGGTTATTACCTGGCTGCAAATATCTGTTATAGGCTCAGGATTTTGAGGACACACAGGACAAGGTTGCATAATTAGATCTATTGGTTTGCATACACCTCTTTGACATTGGTAACCAGGAGGACATCGAATCTGGAAAATAAGCCAGAAAATTTATAAAGCACAAAATCAAAATTTTTGGTTATTACCTGGCTGCAAATATCTGTTATAGGCTCAGGATTTTGAGGACACACAGGACAAGGTTGCATAATTTGATCTATTGGTTTGCATAAACCTCTTTCACATTGGTAACCTGGAGGACATCGAATCTAGAAAATGACCCAGAAAATTTACAAGGCACAAAAAACTAAATTTCTGGTTATTACCTGGCTGCAGATATCCGTTATAGGTTCAGGATTTTGTGGACACACAGGACAAGGCTGCTGCACAATTTGTTCACAAGGATTATTGCAGCAAGGCATTTGTGGTAACCCACTTGCCAAGGTGATTAAAACCAATAAAAAAGTTGACACTTTATACATATTTACCGAATTTTCACAAAACATTTGATAATTATATTTTTTCATGTGTACTAAAGCATAAAATGATCTTGAATTGCATTTATACGGTTACGTATAGAGATAGCGATAATTTGATCTTTGACTTTAGCGTTATCTGCTAATTATAATTATGATTGGTATATGTTATTTATTTATATTTAAATTGAATAATCAAATGTGCAAATAATATAAATGATATACAGAAAATTACACCGAAATGATTTAGATATTCAAACAACTTTCAAATTATTTTTTAAGAATAACTGCACATAATACTATTACAAGATGTCATTTAATATAAAACTATTTTTTTTAACAGAAATATTGCTTAAGAGGCACGCCTAAAAAAAGGTGATTTTTGGGAATTTCTATTAAAAAAACTACTTTATCAATCATTTCAAAATTTTAGGAATATATTTATACATGTTTTAAGAATACATAGTAAAATTTCTGACAAAAAAAATTTAATATTTTTTAAGTTATCGTCGATCTCCAACGGCGCGACAAAAAAAGGCCCTTCACTGCTGCAGTGATTCTGGCCTTCTACGTGGATGAAATTAAAAAAAAAATTCTCGTTAAACTAGATAATATTGTCTGTAAAATGAACTACGATAAAGAAAAAAAAATTGACAAAATGACGGCGTTTTTTTAAAAAAAAGTCGAATTTTACCCAAAATTTTGGTCGTTTTTGGACTGCCAAAATTCGATTTTTGATCCGATCAAAAAATCGATAGTTCATTTCACGGAGAACTATATATAGAACATGTAAAATAAAAATTAGGTAGTGATCGGATCATTTGTTTTTGAGTAAATGCTGCAGCAAATTCGGAAAATGCAGTTTCGAGAAAAACGCGTTTAAAGATAAAATAATCGTTATACTATATACTATATATACAGTCTTTAAATGGCTGTGACTCAAAAACTATTTAAGATATCGATTTAAAATTTTGGTATGTTATTTTTAAAAGTATAACCTATCGAATGATGGAAAAATTGAAAATTTGATGTTTTGAAAATTTCACACTAGTTGTGCCCTTTAACTAAATTTCCTCGATCCCGACAGAGATCAATTCCTTCAGTTTTATCGCATTTTTCTCTGGTAACAACAACCCTCTCGTCGTCAACGTGTTTACCCAGAATGTTTCGCCTTATCTGGAAACGGATGTAGTAACATGGGAGTAGATTTAAAAAATCCCAACACTCCGGACTGCAATATGGCACAAAATGGGAAAACAGACAGAAGGACGCACCAGAGAAAAGGTTATAATACTAGAGAAATAGAGAGACATTATTAGAAGAAAATTATTTTATCTATAATAAACTTGTTAATTTTAGTGTAATATATATCTGAATTTTAAAGTTTTTAATCGTGACTTTTCAACTTCCAGTAGGGTAAGTTATAGTAATTACAAAATAAGTTATTTGTGCAAGGGGATATGTTGATGGTCATTGCAGTGCTCTTTAAAAATGATAGGATTGAGTGTTCATATTTATGCACTTGTATTTATCTATACAAATAATTTGCCTGCATTTAAGTATATTTAAAAAATATATTGTATCATGTTATAAGAGCACATAAAAATTGCCACTTGTAAAAAATATAATTAAAGAGTGCATTTTAACCAGAAATTATCAATACTTGTTTACATCAAAATTTTTATAAAATTGTTCATATATATAATTGTTAAAACACAAAACTTAAAAATTTAATTCTAGCCATTCTGTTTTTTGCGTTAGTAAAAACCAGATGAAATTTACTAAACTTTAGTAAATTTACTCATATGCCCATGAGTATAAAATTTTTAATAATTCTTAGTTGAAATGTAGACTTTAGTATTTTGATGATTTGCATTAAATGGCTTTGAGCCATTTTGTAGTTTTTTTCGAAATATTTTTAATTTCTATTCTAGACACCACCATTTTTTTACATTATTGAAAACTACATAAAATTTACAAAAATTTAAGAGCAACTTTTATATACACTTTAGTAATAAAATTTTGATTAATTGGTAATTGAAATGCGGACTTTAGTATTTCCTTAATTTGTTATATATAGATTCTGAGCATTTTCTACTTTTTTTAAAATAATTTTCAATTTTTACTCAGGACACAACAAGTTTTTCACATTGTTGAAAATAAGATAAAATTTACTAAAATATAGTAAAAACTTTCATATACACTTTAGTATTAAAATTTTGATTAATTCACAGTTGAAATACGGACTTCAGTATTTGCAATTTGTAATATATGGTTTTAGACAATTTTTGCTTTTTTCAAATAACTTTTAAATTTTGTTCTAGATATTATATTCTATTTACAATATTAAAAATAAGATCAAATTTACTGAATTTTAGTGAATCTTCTCATATACACTTTCGTATTAAAATGTTGCTTAATTCACAGTTGAAATATGGATTTTAGTATTTGCATAATTTGTTATATATGGATTTCGAACATTTTTTATTTTTTTTTTCAAATTACTTTCTAAATATAAGTAAATTTTCTTCTATACACATGGGTTTAGAGAAAAATTTTGCTATAGAAACAAGATTCCTATTGACAGAGAGATGTGTTTATTAGTTTTTGGCAAAGACTGGTCAAGCCGTTTCGGAAATATGGAGCTAAATATGCAAAATAATGCAGTTTTTGAAAGAACTAAGCACCCGATTTGAATAATTCAAAAAACTTTCTGCTTTTGTTTTGGAGAAAGAATCTTTAATTTTTTTAAATTAAATTTCCAAAAAATATTTTTTTTATTATTCGGTTTACTTAAAATCACTCATGAATTAATATATTGATTTTTTATTGATGAAGTCGATTTTTCACACATGTCTGAAAATTCATGCAACATGCCACTTACAACTAGTTTTAATATATGCGTATATTACATTTATAATATTATTTTAAACATATAAAACGTTAGATGCAATACATCTAGATTTGAAATACACTATGCTCCGTTGTCGTTTACTCCGGTAATGTTGCGCTCGCTACTGATAACTGATAAGAACGAATTTCACAAACACACAAACGGACAAATATTTCTATACACGTAGTGAAATGTACATAAAACATTTATATATATATATATATATATATATATATATATATATATATATATCCATTCCATTCATTTTAGCAGCAAAGTGGTAGGAAGCTAGCTAGCTAGAGCGCTGGCTGGGTAGCCGGCTACTGCACTTCCGCACTCTCAAAACGTTCCACTGATAAGAGAATGTTGCCACACCATTCGGGTGGAATCAAACAACCCCCGTGTAATATCATTCTACTGTTTTCGAGCAAGCTTTTGCACCACCCCACGGGGTAGACCGAGGGTTAACGAATTCTTTATTCAAACGAGAAAAAAAATAACACGGGTAGATTTATCGAAAATTTTCCGATATTATTTTAAAGTAGAGGACAAAAATGTGTATAGAGACATCACAAAATTTGATATTTTACATCAAAACATGTTTATACGTAATATTTTATTTAGTGTCCCATACGTAACCGGTACGGCGCAAAGTGCTGTAACCTGGAGCAAGGGGTCGTTCAAGGTTAAAGTACAAACTAGCGTACCGGTTATAAATGGGTCATTTTTCAAAATATGATTGATAATATTTTTTTCAAATAACATTGTTTGTAAGTAGTAATACTATTACAAATATGCAATTTTAAAATATTGTATAATTACGTATTCGCCATACAACTCTTTACTTTCGCATGTTTTGAAATTACTTTATAAAAGATAAGAAAAATAAGAATTATAGGACTCAATATTTTGTGAAATTTTTCAACACGATTTTTAAATAATATTTTTAATAGTTTTAAAATTTTTAAAATTGATCCTGGATTTTTGGATAAAACGCGGATGAAAAATATTGCACTTTTCGCCTCATTCTAAAAAAATGATTCAACTTTAGTTTCCATCAGTCTGTGGTCTTTCAATATACACGCAATATATTTTGATTTTCAAATTTAACATTATAAATATCTAATTTTCAATTTTTTTAAGTAAGCCAATGATCTATATACTATATATTAATATCTCACATATGGAGAAGTTCATGGAAATTTTTTCAATACCAAATTATCACTCTATGCCTAGCTAATATATTTTATTAATATCGTTTTTAAATATCATGTTTTTTATTAATTCTAGTTCAATTTTTATAATCTTAATAAGAAATTCCTATGAGGAATTAATTATATATCATATATTATTATCTCACATATGGAGAAGTCCATACAAATTTTGTTAATACAAAATATTTCCTATACCTGGTTAATATATTTTTTCAATACTGTTTTTGAATATCATATTCTTTATTAATTTTAGTTCAATTTTTATAATCTAAATCATAAATTCCTATGAGGGATTAATTATATACTATATATTATTATCTCACATATGAAGAAGTATACGCAACTCTTTTTAGTACAAAATATCATCTGTACCTATAGCTAATATATTTTTTTAAATATTGTTTTCAAACCTCAAATTTTTTATTACTTTTACTATTATTTTTATATTCTAAATCATAAATTCCTATAAGTATGAGTTTGTTAGCTAATGAACGAAAAATTAATTGTGTTTACTAACGGTAAACCCATATGGAAAAAATTAATTATTCGAACATGAATGCGCTTTTTGTGTTTTGCATTTACTCTGTTAATTAAAGCAGAATTTGTACAAATATGCATATGTTAATTACTTTAATATAATTATTAATAACCGGGGTTTAATTCCACAAATTATTGAAATGTATATGTTATAAATAATAACTGGATAATGGTAAAAATTATACAATCTGGCGCAGTTCAAATACCCAATTCAAAACCTAATTTAAAATTAAATTTAAAATGACATTTAAAAATATATTTTTCAAGATATATGTTTTATAAAATAATATAACACTCCTTGG